ATAGAAGCTGTTTGCCTCTATCTTCATCCTAGTTCTTTCAGCTCAGCTCCCCTGGCACCACCCAGTCTTCTCCATCCCAGCAAGGGGATGATGCAGTGTCCAGATTTATTGCTGAGATGCAAATGCTGCTAGAGGAATTAAAAACTAAATTAATCCCTGTGGTTTTCTCTAGTCTCTTGAATTTCAAACCCTCCATGTCCCCTCTCAGTTCTCTGTAAACATCTCACCATGCATCCTTGCTGAGGATGCTGTGTATGGGAGGATTTTTGTGCTTTTTTTTCCGCAGTGACGGTAGCAACTCACAGTTTTCACATCTACATTTTTTATTGGAAGGGTTATTTTTTTTAGTTATTCTTTCACCCTTTGTTTTTAACCACAATTCAGCTGGGGATAGACCAGGCAGAAAGATTTCTGCATATGAGATAGGGGACTCTGAGGAGACCCACACTTAAAGCATTAGCCAAAAGGAGCCCATTGTTCACTAGGGAACTGGATGAGTGAAGACAGACTGAATAAATACTATTAATTCGCCATTTCTCTGCTGCTAGCAAGCTTGACTTTTATTATCAGTTATTGATTGTGAATTTTACTGGATTATTTTGAGCAACATATGTCATAGAGCTGTAATGAGCTGATTGCTGTGCTTCGGGCCAATTGTGGGGAACACACATGGACGCAGAGCCAAATTAGGATCCTGTTTCCCCCTTCCTAAAACTCCTCTGCTTCTTTAGGGCCAGGGAAATAAAGAAAGCCATTGGATTTTGTTTATTTTACAGTGAAGGCATGGACAAAAGTGAGTTCACATGGGGTATTAATACATGGATCTTAGGTGACCAGTGCGTATTTTTCCTTCCACTCGAAGTGTGACATAATGAATACTTCCAGTTACAGAAGGGAGTAGAAAACTGGGGGGGCTTGTAAACCTTTCCCATCAGTGTGTTGGTGGGATTTTGTCCAGCATCCTTAGGTGGAATAATAGGACTTCCAGCTTTGCATTGGGCTACAGTGGCAGGGCTTTGCAAGGGAAGCTAGCCTATCTTTGGCTTCATCTAACTCCCTTCTTCTTTCTGCACTAGAAATTGCTGAAAATTACACTTTCAAATACAAATAAGTCCATCCCCAAGCAATTAGCAGCCAGAGAGGGAGGTAGTGGGGGAGAGAGGGCAGGGAGTGACAAACCCATCTCCTGCAATCTTTCTGTGCAGTTGGGTAAATAAGCTGCGGAGCAGCACTGTGCCCAGCTTTTCACCCTCTTTCCTAAGCAGGTCTGTTGTGAGACGTTTTCAAAGATATTAACCCTGCATACAGAGTGTGCCAGTCAGTAATTATGGAAATTAGTTGGCAATTAGATAATGTCACTCACTCTCCACATACAGCTGATAAGCAGTTGAGAGCCACTCCAAAGCAAGGGTGAGACCCCCTCTGTGGGCTGCTGAGCAGATGGCTCTGACCCGGCATTAATAGGCTGCTGTCAAGTTTGGGAAAGTGTGCGGTGGTTGGGTAGCACTTGCCCATGGCGCGGCGGTGGGGGTGCCTCCCTTCCCCAGCTGGGGAACTTGTGCAGCTCTGTCGGTCCTGCGAGTGGGACGTTTCAATAATGCAAGTGGGTGTGTTTCCTGCGGTGGGTTTTGCGTGTGCGAGGTGCTGAGCCATCTGTTCAGTGTGCAGGTTCCTCGCTGTCGCAGCTCTCGGCTGGGCCAGGGAGGCAGTACAAGCTGTTAGAAGTGCAGTGGAGTTAACTCACTTGCTGGTGTCCATCATGAAGTCTTCTTTTGCAAGATGTGATCATGCTGTGACAAAGTTTGAGATTTCTCAGAGTTAAAATATGTAAGAAAATAATCTGGGATTCTATAGTTATTGTCCCAAACTGTAATGTATTGCTATGGTAGCAGTGTGCTGTATGAGGCTGCTAGGGTAGTATTTATGCTAAAAATAAAATGGTAAAGCAGAAAATTATTCATTCTCAGTGTGTCTTGGAGGATCATTGTGAGAATGGGTGAGGCATACAGAACTGGTGCGTCAGGATTTACTCTCTCAAGGTTAGGATTCAGATCCTGCCTGCTGCGATAAAGGGCACTGGGTCTTCTGAGTTTTTCTTGAAGACCCTGCTACTATGTAATGAGATTTGCTCTCACAGACTTTACTGTGTGAGACACAAAACTGGAATAATGGGAAGTGCCGTGAGTCAGGAATGACGTGTGCTGACAGAACTCTGGAGGAGCCGCAGATGGCCCCAACCTGTTAGTGGCTGGGTGTGGGCAACCTTCCCAAAATCTGAGCTGCAGTGTCTAAAAGGCAATGAAGCACCCAGCAGTGACTCCTGTATTTCATGGTTTTTTGTGTCATCTTCCTCTTCTGAAACAGAGCAGGCACTGTCTTCTTTCAAAACAGCTAGGAAGGGATTACCTTGGCTTCTCTCAATCAAAAGAGAGAGGGATTGCCTCGGCTTCCCTCTTTCAACAATGCTATTCCTATTTAACCATTTCTACCTGGTTTCCCTTGTTAACTGTGCCTTTTGTATTCTCCTGATGAACTTGTATCGTTACAGAAATCTGTAAGATAAGAGGTAGCCTACTCCCTTTACTGTAGCTTTGAAATAACCCAAGGATTGAAGCGACCCATGGAGACTGAGATTTCTTTGTGTGTGTAACGCAGGGTTTCAGCAGCCTGGGGTTGGGAGAGATTGGTAGGCATTTTGGACAGGTGTTTGAACTGTACATGGACATACACATCTCAGCTGTGGTTATCTATCATGTTCACACCTGCTGCTGCTGTGATTTACAGCATCTTTCACTGGTTATCAAAGAGTTGGTCTTTTAAAACAGGTAGAGAAATGTAGTAAGACTGAGGGCTGGCTTTGATGCAAATTGTGCAGTTCACCCTGCCCAGGAGAACTTAAAGCTTGGGTGAGAACTCTACTGCATTGAGTTCTCTGTGAGTGGTTGATGCCATACTGGGCTTGTCTCCCTTCTCAGTTCAGGGTGAGCATAGAGCTGTCTCTTGGAGCAGTGAATTTTGCTGTGGTGGTGGTAAATGTTTCAGGGAACTGTGAACCTGTGAGCTGTTGGAAGCACATTGCTGGCTAATTTACACACATTATGATATTCCTGTTCCCATCTCATCAGTAACTCCAGGCTTGGGTCATCACTTTTCACACTTACCTTCTCCCTCTATTCTCCTTCTCTGTAAATCATGGGCTATTTTAGTGGATCCTCTAGGGAGCACAGAGAAGAAAGGTAAATAAACAACAGCCACATATTTTTTTTTCCAACTGATTTTTCAATGCCCCCCAACACCTCCATCAATTGAGCCAGCATCATGATTATTTGGAAGACAAACGATTTGAGCGATTGGATCTGTGATTTTTTTTTTCCATTTTACACCTCTCCTAACACCTCCTTTTCCCTCCTTCCATTATTATCAGCCAAACTGTTAACAATTAAAAGGAATTATCTCCCCTCTGGTTTTGACTTGATTTTATTTGTGTTTATAGCAGTTTAGATAACACACTCCACTCAGGCAGCTGCAGGGAACAGGCCTGGTTTCCGCTGGGCACTGAAAGCTCACATTTCTCTCCAACTTGCGGGTTTTCTTTTAATTGATCTCTTTTGTTTTCTAAGTGACTTGTTTTTCATACTGGCTAAATTTGTCAGACTGACAGCTCTGGAGACTTATGGCTTCTGCAGGTCGCTAAGGCAGGCGAGGCTGTGACTGGGTGAACTCTCCCCTCGGTTTCCTAGTGGTTCTGCTCCAGCTCGACCTCTGCCCTTACCAAACAGAAACTTTTCAGCACTGACTGTTTCTGCAGTGTCTGTGGGCCTTTTCCTTCAGAGCGAGGTGGGCAGTGGGGATGAAAGGCATCTGCTATGAGCAACAGCAACCCAAACAACTCTCATTGTCCACAGCACAAAATATTTTTCCCAAGCAAATATTGCCTCACAATATTTGTGTTCCAGTTTGTGAAAGCTGTGTTCATCCTGGCTTCTGTGAGGCTCAAGGCCTTGATTCTCATCACCTCCTTTCCTGCTTTGTATCTATGCTAATGTTAGCCATTCCCAGAGCTGTTCTTGTGCCCAGCCCATCTTTGTGAACAAACACATCTGTTGATACAAAACTTACTTTCCTTTTAGGTAGACTTTTCAAGGAATGAGCATAGCTTTGTGCCGTCTTCTTTACCTGTCACTTAAAACATCCTCCTACACTAGGCATACAGTCACTCGCATGCAAATATTCAAAAGTGAGTTAAATTCCAGTGTTAACAGATGTAACTCAGAAAAGGCAGTTGCAATTGTGTGCTGTTAGTTAGGGGTGAATTTGGCCTTTTTGCCAAACAACTAGACCGGGGTAAGTGGTTAAGTGTTTAGACAGTTCTTAGCATCTAAGCTGCAAGTTTGCTATCATCTAAGCTGCAGGTTGCCATATATAATTTACATAGCACATGTTTCCAGGTTGCAGAGGTCCCTGATGGAGTTTCTGAAGTGTATGAGACATGTAAAGTAAAAGCAGCTATTGCATGACAGGCTGACAGCAGGGTTGTCTTCTCTAATGCTTGCTTGGTGTGCTAGGAAGCATAATGAAGGCAATGGAATGGGAAGTTTGAATAATGTCTTCTCTTGCCCTGTATCAACTTCTAAACTCTAAGGAACTCTGGTCTTTGCCCTAAGCATTTTCATGGGAAAGCTCCAGCACCATTTCTCAGTTAAGTCAATGAGGTTGCATCCATTAATAAATGTTAAATAATATGGTGTGTCTTTACATTACTCAGCATTGTTATGTGTGCAGATCACTTTGTGAGTTCTCTATTAGTCCTCTTAGTTTTTAGAACATAGATGTCCTTGCTGCTTTGGAGAACTGCATAGCCAATTGCAAGCATGAAGGAGTGTCTAGAGTATCAAGAAATGTAAATGAGTTATTGCACAAGATGTTAATAAGCTTCATGGTAAAGATATGGTGAGTAATAGGACTAACTTCTCCCTCCCTTTCTTCTCTTGGCCCCACAGGTCCTGCAAGCTCCGTGAGTGCCAAGCAGTGAGTTATGGGCTGGGCATCCACCAGTGCATCATGAAGATTGACTTTATTTTTGCCCTCTTGAGGTTCACATGCTTTATGAATTCGCTCTCTCTTCTATCTCACTGCCACCACCGTCAATATTGTCATCACTTCTAGAAAACAAGAATTTTAGGCTTGGACTTCAGCTCTGCCTTTCCTTACTTCTGGAACACCAGTATCACCTTTGTGTTCTACCAAAACAAATCACTGTGGGTTATTTTGCCCTTCACAAAAGTACACCATCTGGAGAAGTCTCTTCATGTATCCTGTACTTCTGAGATAAAAGCCTCTGAGTCCTAAAGGATAATTGAGATCTGCGGAGGAGACATTTCCTCTTGGTCACGTGAACGTGCTATCTCACTTTCCACTTACTCTCCCACTCTGTCACTCTTTCTGCTCTCCTCCTCTTCTCTTTGGATTTAGCACTCGGTGTTGACTGCTGGGGTTCTCCTCCCAGTAGTGTGGCTTCTGTTTTTCTCCTACGGAAGAGCAGATTGAAACAATGGGCTTCACTCTGCATTCTGTCTACTTCACCTTGAAGGTGAGTTTGCTGCTGGGCTCCTTGCTGGGTCTCTCTTTGGGTCTGGAGTTCATGGGCATCCCCAACCAGTGGGCCCGCTACCTCCGCTGGGATGCCAGCACTAGGAGCGAACTCAGCTTCCAGTTCAAGACCAACGTCTCTGCTGGGCTGCTTCTCTATTTTGATGATGGTGGTGTCTGTGACTTCCTCTGTCTGTCCCTTGTTGATGGGCGCATCCAGCTCCAGTTCAGTGTGGACTGTGCAGAGACAACAGTTATCACAGACAAGCAGGTAAATGACAGCAACTGGCACTTCCTGATGGTCAGCCGCAACCACCTTCGGACGGTGCTAGTGCTGGATGGCGAGGCCAAGCCGGGTGAGGTGCGTCCGCAACGCCAGTATATGAATATCGTCAGTGACCTTTTTGTTGGTGGAGTCCCACTGGACATCCGTCCTGCTGCCTTGACTCTCGATGGTGTTCTGAGTGAGCCTCCATTTCAAGGATTTATCCTGGATCTGAAATATGGCAACTCTGAGCCACAGCTCCTGGGTAGTCAAGGGGTCCGACTGGAAATGGAAGGACTTTGCTCAGAAAACCCCTGTGAAAATGGTGGCACTTGCTTCCTTCTGGATGGCGAGCCACACTGTGACTGTTCAGCCACTGGATATGCTGGCAAGCTGTGTTCTGAAGGTAAGAGAATACTTCCATGCTTCCCATTGATTTTTACATAATCCAAAGAGTTAATTTGTTATTTAGCAGGGCTATGACGGAGTTCTTATTCCTGCTGGTGGTTATCAGAGGAATTAAAAAGTTCCACCATTCCTATTTCAGCTGGAAGTAATGAAGTGGGAGTAGATAGCATGAACAATTGCAAGAAGCACCTTTCTGAAAGGATGCTGCGTTTGTAGCATGGACAGATTTTCATCATCATCATTCATTTCATCAGCAACTTCTTAAAAAGGGTAGAGAACATAATTGGTAAATACAGACGTACCCTAGGTTAGTGTTGGTAAAAGCAATGGCTATTCCACTACCCTGTGTCCCTGAAGAGTGATTGAAGTGTCAGCAAACAGGAACCATGTATATATGGCTAATGTAACTGATTGACAGGACATTGCATATGTTATTTGATGTTGGCTGTTGCTAGTCTGTGGAAGCCCCATGCTTCCCTTGAATTGCTTGCATACTAATTGCTGAATGGCACCTTGATTGTTTTAGCATCCTTGATTAAATTGCTTAAATTGCTTTTTAAATTGATCTTAGTGTTGCAAAGAGAAGAGGGATTTGCGTATTTCTACATTGTTTCTACTCTCTTATAGAATTTGAGTCTGAAAGTTTTAAGTCATGCAAACCCCAATGCTGAAGTGTATTTCAGGGTTTTTCCCTTAGTCTTTAGCAGTGTGATAGTAATTAACTCTGTATGTGCAGGAGACTTAAGTAAGTCAGCTGGAAATCCCAGTGTGAGTTTGAGAATCTCATCACACCATTTTTTGTGACATTTGGCATTAAACACAACAGTTGAAGCCAAAGATTAAACCTGGACAAGAAGTGTCCAATCTCAAGGGGAAAAAAAACACCCTGAAATTTTGTCAAAATAGAAATACTTGCAATAATATATTTTCACAACTAACATTTGTTTACTTATTTTGGCAATGAAACTAGATTAACCGGAGTTTAGTATCTAGAATGTGAGAAGTGCTGAAAATAGTCCTTATATTCTTGATATTCAAACAAAAAGCCCTACAGCTTATGTTTGCAGTATAGATGGAGAAGCAAATATGTTTTTATAGGAAGGGAAGGTTTGAAAAATAGACATAGCATCCCTATGTACATTCATTTTGAGGTCATTTTAATGATAACAAAAAATTTGTCTTTATATCCAAACAGCACAGTAACAGTACATGACCATTAGACAGGATCTGTGAGCCTGTGACGTCCTGAACAACAAAATTCTTTCTAGCTGTTTGCTCTGAACTGATTAGGTCCAAACTAATAATGAGCCAGCACTGTTTTCTGTGCTTGAGCCATGAGTTACATGGGGCTGTAGAGACTGCTTGGTGTGACTGGGCAGTTCAGGAGCTGGGCCTTGGAGTGTTTGCTTAGAGAGCAAACACTCCTCATATCTAAATGCCAGTTATGTTGATAGAAGATTTAAGAGCAACACAGGCATGTGGACCCTGAAACATAAAGCTATAAGGCTCTTTCTAGTGGTGGGCCATTGGATCCAGACTCCACGAGAGCCGCTCAAGGCATAACTGCATATGGTTTTCAGTGAACATCTTGAGAAAAGAGTGTAAGTGAGCAGGAATTCCATGTACCTGTGGGGCAATTGTGAGAGCTCTAACCAGGGCTCAGGTGGTGGAGTTTCTGCATTTCCTGGGTGGGTGGAACAATCTGAAATCCATCTTCTAGTGAATCCAGGGATATTTCTGTTGTAGACACCATGGATCAAGCAGTGCTATTGTTACCTTTTGAAGCTGTGAGTCACCATTGTTGTTTGTTTCCTATAGTGATTCATCAGTTTCCAGCCGAACCTTCTATTAAGGGTGAGCAAAGAAGTTTGTCACGATGTGCCTTCTTAAGTAAACATTTTTAACTTACTCTTAGCTGGTGTCTGTTCACTCTCAGAGAAGATACTGCGCAGACAACTTTTGCAATGGATCAAATGTAGAGATTTCCAGTCATTATCTTGTTTGGTTCTTGTTTTCTCATTTATTACTAAATCGTGTATATTTGGTTTACATTAGAATTTTATGATCAGCCTTGTTTTATGACTCCTTTATGCTGTAGCAGTGGTGATTTCTTTGTGTTAAATGCTGTCGCTGAAAAATGTTCCACTGTCTGTGCAGATTGTGAGAAGGGGAAAAACAAAAGAAAAGCTGTGTAGTAAGTGGAAACAAGCAGACAAAGAGAAGTGGCAAGAAAACAAAACAGGTACAAATTAAGTTTAGCTGCCTTTTTATCTGACTTTGAAAAATACAGCAAACTCCAAAGATGTTGTCTTTCAATTCTGTGAGTGTGGCAGAACCTCCACAGTAGGATGTGGCAGGAATGGTACAACTACATATAGGCACTTCCCGCCTGTGGCTTGATTGGCCATTAAACAACTTGTATTTTCTTTGTTTGCTTTTTTTTCCCCCAAAGAGATTGAGATGTTTGTTGTCGGAACTGTTGCTTTTGTTTTGTTTTCTTATCCTGCCTCTGGATGTTTGCAGAAATAACATGGTTATTTTATTCCCAGTCTCATTTTTGAAAAAGATGTGCTCTTTCAACTGGATATCAACAGCTCTCTTTTTGGAGGGATCCTTAACTCCATTACAGTATTTACTAGTCTGTAGTCTGTGTGCGTATTTTCATTTTGTCACCAGAGCTGGCTCTTATACTGGGAACTGATGGGATCTGATCAATAACAAGTTCTGTTTGAACAGCTAAATGTGATATGTACTTTTTTAATAATGAGTTCTTTTGACAGTGTCCAGGCCATTACTTGGCTATTGACTGATACCCATGCCTGCAGATGGTAAAACCACAGCAAACTTGTTTATTCCGTGGCGAGAGATATAAGAAATAAATAGAGAGTGGAACCTGCTGATTCTGTAGTGTGACGGATTGAAGCTCCATTTACAGTATTAGGGGCTACTGTAAGTCCAAGTGCAGTTCCAGTTATACTGAATGCCAACAGAGAACAACCACTGCATATTGAGATAAGACTAGGAATCCTGTCTGGAATGTGCCCCCAATGTGCAGAAAAGATTTTGGCACTTCATGTGCATCTGGAGTTAGCAGGATTGTGTCTATCATGGCAGCCACATGCCCAGATGGGTAGCTGAGCAGGTACGATTTCAGTGTCTGAGTTTATACAGTGGGAGTGCAAATGCGTGCACAGTTTGTAAGGGTTGGCTGTTTTGAATAAAATGTGAGACTATTTTTATTGCAGTTGGAGTAAACTGGTTCATTGAATCTGACAGCTCTGTAGGGTACAAAGGATGGCTGATTTGAGTAGCAATTAGTTTGTATGTTTCTGGGCAATGGTGGCATTAGACGTGAAAGCTGAACTCAGAGACATCTTATCCTCTAATAAACCTCATCAGTCTCTGTGGGATCAGGCTGCTGCCGAGAGAATGATGTTCCTGTAGAATTTGAGCAGCACAGATACATTTATGTTGCTAGAAAAAAACACCAACAAAACCTTCCCCATGCAAATTTTGCAAACTGAGCTGCTGGAGAAGCCAGATGAGCATGTTCCTATCTGCTCATTCAGGATCACGCTGTCAGTCTGCAAGAAATTTTCTCTTTCTCCGACACTGCTGTATTTTGGCACAAGACTTCACCCCTCTTCCAAGACTCCTTCTGGACTTGGTGAGAAAAGGTGAACAGAAGATGTGCTTAGAAATGACACTCACTGCTTGTAGTTGCAGAACCAAGAGGTTGATGTGATCACCAACTTCACAAAGCACCATGCTGAAGCCTTTGTCTTGCCTGCAGGGGCTGTTTCTAAACGAAGCCTGAATAGGGGCTTGATTGCACCTCTTCCCTTGATTACAGAGCAAGATTTCCTGGGGATGCTGCCTGCTGAATGACAGAGGAGCCCGTTGCTCTGTAATTATCACACTTTTAACTGCAGCGGGAACAGATTTTTCTATAGTCCCTCAGCTTCATTTAAAGTGACAAGTTACTGCAGGATTTATCCTCCTCCTGCCCCTTCGCAGCAGCCCAGTCTTGGCTGTATCTGAAGGGACTGCTTAGCCTCTCTTGCAGTCACTGTATCTCCCTTCCAGCCACCCTAATCTTTATAATACGGGGAGGGGGCTAGTTTGGCCCTTTGCCATGAACCTGATGGTTGCACTTAATTTGCATATACATTTACATACATTTTGTAATCAGAAACAAATGAACATGACCACAATATTTGCTTCCATTTGCGTATTCCTTGATAGATGAATATAAATTGATTTTTGTTGAATTCACCAGCAATAAACAGTTGCAGGCCCTTCATTTGGTCTTCTGCTCTGCTGTTGTAGAGGACAGCAGGCAGCTCTAGGACACACTTTGGAGGAGCCCAGATCTTCACTCACCAGTGCAAAACTCTAGAATTGATGGTCTCCAAGGTCTGTGGAGTAAATATTGCAAGGGGCAAATCTGCTGTTTTATGTCACTTCTCATGTCACAGCACTGGCCATCGGGTAGAAAGCTGGTAAGAACTCTGCTCGTGACTTAATTTTGCAGCAATTTGTTTTTCCTCCTCTCTTTCTCTTGCTCATTCTTCCTGGTTTAAGTTCCTTTGGTCGTATTTAAAATTATAATATTTTTTCCAGTCTGGTTGTAAATTTTTTTATGTATTGCCAGATGAGCACCAGAGAAAGACAATGTGTTAAGATATTAATTGATGTTTATGAAGTGCTTTGAAACTCCAAAGTGCAGTTTAAGTACCATTTGTTATTCTTAATGATTAATATTAAAACTGAGCGGGAGCCTCAGAATTTGAATTTGTATCCTACATACCCTTTCACAGAAGATGCCTGGGACCCATGTTCCTTCACTAAGCATAGACTGCCTGCAACTCCAGAGCTAGCTGGATTTGTTTTGTGGTCTCCCCTGCTTTTAATGCAGGGGAGCGTCAGGGAGATTACAGGACTCTGCGTGGCAAGTGCCATTGATTCAAGTAGTCTATCTGCAATACATGCTGACAG